AGCTACTAGGGGCTCCTGGCATCGCTACTAGGAACAAGAAGCTACTACCTGGCCGTAACTGTGGTTTCCATAGAAATTTCCGTTTCCCCCCGCCTCACAGCGAAGGCCGACTTCCCGGTGCAGAGCTGGGCGCACCGCCCAGTCGGTGGATCGGGACCGGCGACAGCTTGGGGAGTTATGATTCATGTGACGATAGACTGTAACATGACTGTTTTATTACTATTTTTGTTATTGAATGATAGAAGTGATACTAGAATTAGACTGCAACTCATGTTATTTTGTGTTTTGTTCGATTCTTGGGAGATTCGGCAGCATGGTTTCGGAGACTATCACTAGGATTGATTTGCTGTTGGTTGGTTTTTACATTTTTACCTTAGCTGCTAGATTTGCTTTCATTGTTCCACTCCCCCAAGAATATTCACCAGCTGTCACGAGCATTGGAAAGACCTCACCTTGGTCAAACCTTTGCAATTCAACAAAAGCTGAGCCATGGCCATGGCGTTCTCTCGCACGACCTGCTGGTGGAAGGTCCCAGAGCTGGCCATTGCAGCGTCACCTGTTGTGAGGTCGCTGACTTCCTGTCAAATCTCACGGTGCTCCTAAACTACGAGCTTTGGCCCAAGAATGCACATACCGCGATGTTGTGGTTGGACTGGAGTTGGGAATGAAGCATTTGCCTAAACAGGTGCCAAACATTTCGCTCTTGTTCAGGCTTGTCCCCAAGGCACCTGTCCATAAACTCATTGATTTGTGCCATGTAGTTTTTCAGCCACTACTTCACCTTCGCCTTTGCCTGCATGTTCGATCCCATTTCTGTCAAGGCACCGAAATGACCAGTGGAAGTCAGAACTTCAGGTGGGGGAGATGTGGGAGTTGATCGAAAACCCCATGTAAGGAGTTTTATATACCTAGACCGCGCAAAAGACGTATTTTTTTCTGGTGAGGGCAATTTTCAGGCGAAGCTCAAAAAAAACCTTCTGCGTTGTTTTTTGTCACTTCTGCGTCATTTTGGCGTCATGTTTTCTATCGCGAATTTGCTGCATGTTTTTGCGTCGTGTTTTCTGGCGAGACGGAAAAAAAGACATCGTTTCAGGGTCCAGGTATATATATAACAGCCTTTCAGATGTTGTTAGAACCATCCGCGAAAGATTCGCGATGAGGCTCGCGAAAGTATTATTTTTTCCGCGAAAGATTTATCGAAGGTCATCGCCTTCATATGTTTTCCTTTCTACCGGACTGACAAAGAATAGAAATACAAGACAATCCTCCGGCAGAGCCGGTGGGCGGACGTGTCCCCATATGTCACAGACTAACGAACTGAAGCCTCAACATTTCCGTGCCCAGCCCTGGCAGTGCGTAAAGGATTCTCCAATTCCTGTCCCCACCTGCAGCTGCTCTGACGGGCTGTGCCGATGTTTGCAAATGTTACGGCTTCCCGGGGAAAGCACCAGTGAAAATTCGCGAAAGATCCGCGAACGCTTCACGAATGTGCCGCTAAAGTCCAGGTTCCCAGCTTGAGGCCAAACATTCCCCAAGCTGCATCACGCTGTGTTGGTAGCTGGCACGAGGATTGGGTTGAGTTGTGTCTGTCTCTATTTGGCGCAAGTGTCGCACAGATGCTGCCCGTGACCCTGAGTAGCTGTGGAAACGTTCAACCTTCTACTGGGGTCATGCTGCAAGATGTCTGTCCCTATTTTGTGATACTATGACATGTTCTGGCTCATGTTACCTAGACATGGTTGTAGGACCATGCTTCGCGATGAGGCTGCGAAAGATTCTTTTCCGGGAAGAATGGCCATTCCAGGATGAAAAAATATTGATCAACCACCATGTGTTTTGGCCCAGAAACGACCTGAAGTTTGTCGCGCGATGTCCACTGAATCTTTAAGTGCAAGCCGGTCCTGCAGCTGCTTTGGGGACGCAAGGCATCATAATAGGCAAGGTGTCAGCGTGAGGCTTGTTTCTTTGCCCACGGATTCCGATCATGGCCACATTTCACTTATGTCGCTCAAGAGGCTTGGACCTGTTCTGAGCTAATCTTTGCTGGTTCCACATCATCCTCTTTCTGATCCTCCAGAAGCACCGCTTGAAGCCCTTGAATCGCCAGGATGAAGTGGACAATCCTGTTCATTTCCCCTTGACTGTGGAGCAGGTGCGGCTGCCGCGTGTGCAGAAACGCTTCACTGGCAAGGTGTGGTTTGACTGGGAGTTCTGGTGCTGTCACATGAACAGGTCAGCGACATCCTCTCTGGCGAGGCTTGGAGGATTAACTCACCATGTCGGAATCTCATGGGGTTAAGCGGGGTAGGTAAAGAGCGGTCAGGCAATTCCGTTTATTTGACATGTGGCGACGGCTCGCCTGCCACACAGTATTGGGATATACTACAACATGATGGCCGACGGTGACAAATTTGAAACAGTAGTAATATATAAATTATATATATATATGATGTGTAATGTTATTATATAGATATATTAGTTAAATAGTATACTACGTTGTATGATGTTCTATTGTGTTTCATTATATATTTCACATTATGTATTATGTTTTATGTATTATATACTATGATAGTGTTACATTTACGTTTATTTTATATATGTACATGTGATCGAGTGTAATTGAGATACAGATTTGACGTCCAACATCAGCGAATCCTCGTATCAAATTCTCCAGGTACAGCGCGTCAAGACCAACAGAGCCAAGGCGGCCGACGTGATGCTGAAACGAGGTGTCAAACGCACCTTATCAGCTTCAAGCTCACTTATCTTTGTATCCAAATCGTGAGGCATGGGTACATAGAACTGTTAGTAGTAATGGCGACACTTTTGATTTATCAAAATGGTTATATATAGTTGAGGTTTTTGGGGGCTAGATGGTGGCTGACTTCAAGATTTGACTAGCTGCCAACTGGGATCAACTGTCGGGTCTTGAGGAGCTTTTGTGACAGAATTGTTTGTAGAGAACATTGAATCTTTTTCTGGTTCAGGCGGATCAGGCCTTCATTTGCAAAACTGTCTAGATTTGTGCTTTGCTTCTCAGGCAAAACATGCCAGAGAATGAAGGAGAATACAGGAAACTAACCATGTGGACAACTGAGTCATGATCGACCGAAAGGTTCCGGCCGGAGGATCACTGTAACGAAAGCAACAGGGTCAGATGCGCATTGCCTCAATAATGAAACTACTCAGTATTGGAGAGGTTATTTTTGCATTTATATACAGTATATAAGTATGTATATATATATAGTTTTGGAACGGGTTTTCATGACACGTGTGCGTGTGTGGGTGTCTATGTCTTCTTTTACATCCACCGGTGATTTGTCACTGTGAAAGAGGGTTTGGGTGGTGTTGATACAAGATGAACTTGGAGATATTTCGAAACATATCATAGCGAGATCCACTGATCCGCCCATTTGGATGTTACGCCACAGGCTCCTGCGGGCTACAGTGCTTTGCGAGCTCAGGAGCTGTGGGCATCGGTGGGACTTCCGTCCAGAAGTCCAGAAGTCCACTAATTTAGGGTCCCAACTAAGAAGAAAGCTGGACGCCGCAGACTAGAAGCAAAACTGAACACATCTGGAAACTGGATGTTCTACTGATACAACTTACAACCAATGCTTCCGGCAACTTGCCATGGCTTGACTACACGGCCTAGTTGTGCTTCTAGACTTTGGGTACTGCTTAGGGACCAGGTTGCAACTGTGTGCCGGAGCCTTTCAAGAATTGTGCTCCTTATGTAACTTGTTTTGAGTTGCTGTGCATACCGTGACAGGCTGACCAGTGTTTCGTACTCTCGTACTCTCTATTGACTCTAGTGGTTGCTTTCAAGGTTTCTGCTGAAGCAGGCAAGATCTTGCGGTTCCAACTTGCCCTAGCAACCCCAAACAGATCTTGCCCGCCAACAACAATGGAAGGTTATGGAAGTGGAGCATGGACCTCTTGCAAAAGAACTATTATTAAGAACAATGTTCTCATTGATTAACAGATTTGTCTACCAAGATCTACATAGTGTGGGTCTATTCCACTCACCAGTTCAGAAACGCTGCGGCACTGGAAGAGGCGGATCCTGAAGGGCCATCCTGGTGTGGAGACACGGAGACCATGGCTGCTGATTGTGGATCTGATGTTTTTGGGGAAGTTCCATGACAAACAAATGAACAGAAAATTGCCTGTGCTGCACGTTTGTTTTCTTAATGAATGGATCAACAGCTTGGTGCAGTGTATTGGTTGACTGAATAAGTTCATTGATTATACGTCAACTGGCTGGTGGCTTGATCGTTGGTGCCTTGATGTTTGCTTCTGAGGCTTAGATCTGTGAGGTTTGAGGAGCCAGAAGCGGAGGCTGGAGTACTCACAGTCGGCAAGAATTGGTCTCCCTGTTCTTGCTGTGAAAAGGTTACAACTGAACAATATGCAAGGGGCCTCAAGAGTGGGAAGCTATACAAGCGCTTGCATTGGGAGTTATTCCTGTTTGATTTCAGAAGGATGACCTTCAGGGCTATCCCACCGCAAAAGTCTCGCAGAGAAAGTGGAGGTGACTGCCAACTTGCCACATCTACATCTCACGCTTTTCTTGAGCTGGCTCGGATTGCAGGAGAAGAGTACGGAAAACTCCAGAGGATGCACCAACATGTGTTACCCGCAGGGTTGATTGGAGTATGTGCATATATACATATGTGATTAGTTCTCCAATATTGGATCAATTTGATTCTTTCATCCAGGATTTGAGCCTAGGGCCAGCGATTTGGACAACACGAGAGCTATGGTGGTGGCACACAATAATATATATTAATATAAACGAAGGTGTGGACAGAGGTGGGCGGCGCTCAAAACAAGCAGCATTCAAGGAGTTGATTCTCTTGCACAAGCTGCTTTTGCGCTTGGGCTAGGTTTGCACAAGCTCATGTTGAAACTGCATCCCAATGCGCAAGCTTCAACTGCATTCACGCAAGGTGTGCACAAGTCTTTCACGCAAGATTAGCAAGGGTTTTGACTACGCGCAGGTGAAACTTAGGACGGGCCACTGTGAGCAAGTGATGTTGGACGAGGCAGTCGGGTGTCCCAATCAGAGCAGCACTGGCCAGGTTGGTTGGGAGCTCTTGGCCAAGATCTCAGCAGTGTGGGTGGGGCAGTGAGGCAAGTTCTTGGTCCTTGCAATGAGAATGCATTTACCAACGTATATACAGAGGTGGGCAGGTGGAGTTGACCACGCATGATCCAAACTCGGGCAGAGCACACTTGTCATCAATCCACCGAAATTGATCAAAATTGTGACACTTAGCCTGCTGAGGAGAAGCCTTTGGTATCTGGGCCAATGTGTGTGTTGGTTGGGAGGAGCAAGCTGAGACAGGGAAGTTTCAACCTAACAGGACGTGGAGGACTGATGGAGTTAGGGTGAGGCTGGTATCCTCCAACAAGGACTGCTTCAACAACCAGCAGCGGTGTATTCACAGTGTTTGGAAGGGTAGAGGGTTGTGCTGTGTTGTTTTAGTGGGTTAGCTTCGAGGCTTTGTTGAAAAGGGAGAGAAGAGCCAAAGGTTAGAAGCGAGATCCCTTCCCATGAGGCCCACTCCGGTTTAATGCTATCCCAAGAGCATGGCCACTAACAAAGGCGAAATTGCATTTGAATCTGGCTTCAAGTCTTGATCTGGGCATCAAGACTGACATCGACCAGAGAGTTCTTGTGTTTGGCGTCGTTGATCCCGAGGCATCACGACTTCGGAGAGAGAAGCTAGGAGTTTGGAGGCATAGCAGCCTCCATCCTTTCACTTCCAGGGGGGATGAGAAGCCAAAAACGCTGATCGGTGGGTAGTTAAGCTCC